ACAAGTTTTTCAAACAGTTTGGGTATTGTACTCAAAAGGCTGAACCATATCTGGCACCTACTGTTCGAGAAAGTACCTATTGTGTTCCAATGGAAGGAGCTGAAAAGGTCATTTATAAGGTAAATAGACAGCTGCTGATTAAAGTCATGATAAAAGGAGTTTGCTTGTGGACTGACTGTACTTGACTTGCTCTGAAAAGGCTTGGAAATTTACTACATTTTTTTTGTCATTTTCATTTCAACGGAAAACTAGGAAATTCCTCTCAAATCACATATGAGAGCCTCTGAAAAATACTTGTGGACGACACAGTAACTTGAAATTTTCAGTCTATGTTTCATAAGGCACAATGAACTTGTGTAAATTTGACGGCCTGCCTCCTATCCCGCAAGTAACTAGAAAACCACCCAAGTAGCGTCCCCGCATTTCCAAGAAGGGCAGAAAGCTTCCCTATAAGGATTCTCTGATCCACCCTGTCGAACGCCTTCGAGAAGTCCATGTAGATGGCATTCACCTGACATCCCCTCTCGACAACATCCAACAAGGTGTGCTCATATAAGGGAACAAGTTTGAAAGGGTTGACCTACCCTTGAGAAATCCAGATATGTGAATAGAATGGAGCAATTTTATCCGTTATCAAGGCCTCAAAAATCTTCGGAAACAGTGAAACCTTCGATACTTCATGGTAGTTTCCGATGTCCGCCCTATTTCCATCATTATAAATAGGTGTCACATATAATTTCGTTGGTCTCATGATATAAGGCCCTATCTCGAGCTACAGCCAAAATGAAAGTTCATAGATATGTTTCATTTAGTATATACTTGCTCTTAGCCAAGGGTCTTTTGTTGAAATCAGTTGATTTCGTTAAAAAAGTGAGAAAACTCGTGGTCCTATCTTGAAATATGAACAGTTTTATTACAGCATAAAGGCGAATCTTGAGACACAAATGTTAATTACTATTGAAAAATGTGGTATTTGACAAAAAACTTGCATGGTTTGTTATTCATAATTCCAAAAAAGAGACCAAAAATCGGTATAGTTCTTTGTATTCTGTTGGCGTAAAGATATTAGTTTTTTTCTAATTGCTCTCCTGAAAAATTGTCAGAAACGAGATAGGGCCTTATGTCATGAGACCGACGATATGATCTCTTCCACTGTGTGGGAAAAGTACCGGAACAAAGTGAGAGGTTGAACATTTTACACAGAACCGCAGGAATATATTGACAGTATTCCAAGAAAATAATCGGAATACCCTCGGGCCCGCTCCCAAGTTCTTGCTCAAATTACATATCTTACTAAAAACGTCCACTTCCACATAACAAACATTCACAGATTTGCTATCACACCCAAAATCAATAGGAGATTCTTTATGCTCTGTGTATGTACACAGAAGCAAAATATCCGCTGAACAACTCGGATATCTCTTGCACAACATCACTTTCATGACCATTAAGAACCATGCAGTGTGGATACTCAGTGCCACCCCTCTTTGATCTTCCTATAACTTTCATAAACTTTGCCTGTCACCAAGCTGATCCTCTAGATACTGTATGCACTTTGTCTGAGATGCATTTGATAATTCACGACACTGCGTTCTTAAATCAGAAAAAAACATAAAGTCATCTGACAAATTACTTCTCTTAAATTGACAATAAGCTTTTTTCTTTCTTAATGTTATAGTTTTGAGATCATTGTCCATCCATTTAGGAAATTTAGGTGTTTTGATTCTACATATTGGAGTAAACCTATCAATATAGTCATGTAAGATGTCATACAAGGAACTAAGAACAACATTCACATCATTACAATCATCCAGAAAACACTGGACAAACAGAAATTAACCTATAATACAGATAATCATTCGCCATTTTTCTGCCCTGTGGTGCATTACATAGCTTAAAACAACACTCAAATGCCAGATGTGGAGCATGCAGCTCCAGAAGTGGGCCATAGATCAAGTTATTGTTTCTATGATCAGTAATTATCCTTTGATTATCCCCGATTATCTCTTGGTTATTTTCGGTTATCCTTGATTATCCCCAGAATCTCAAGTTAACCCTGGCCATATATACATCAAATATTCTCATGGAAATCCTCTTCTCTTTTACCTAATGAATTTTAGAACTCTAAAGTGAAATTTCACCTTGACTGCTCTTATAAAAGTTTCCTATTGATTCCAGAGACAATATTGGTTGAGCAATCAGAATTTGGAATCAGCAACTCTGGTATAATCAGTCAAAAATGTTGCTTTGAAGTCTTTTCTAGAGAAATTCTAAATAATGTCTAAGTGCAACCGACAATCAGTACCTAACGAAACATTAACAAGATGGTAATTGTTTACTTTTTTTAATTATTACTGGTTTTCGATTGCTAGTAATAGGGCTTAGCGGGTTCTGATACACTAGATGGTGCTAGATGTAGCTGGCGAAACAGCAGCGCCACCTCGTGCAACTTTAGTTTGAGTTAGAACCCGCTAAAACCTACTGCTAAATAGTAAAGGTTCTTAAAAAGTATCAAAAGCGATATTTGAACTATTCCCGGATTTGAACTGACTTTAGAAGTTTTCCGAAGGTACTAGAGCTGAGAAAAAATTAAATTTTCATTAATTACCGGCTCTTGATTGCCGATCGATGACTTTTCCATAGACAGTTGGTTCAATTTTTGATTATTACCAGCTCTTGAATCGCTGGAAAACTTAAGTAGGGAGTATGTAGGCGTTCTGGACAAAGAGACTCTCCCCCTACCATACACACATCTCACTCAAGATACTACAATCCCCCTACCTGTATGATTAGCGCTATAGGGGGATACAGGTACGGGGATGGTTTTATCTTGAATGAGTTGTGTGGTAGGGGGATTCATAGAGGGCGCAGGGGATGGTTGTATTTTCAGTGGTAGGGGGAATGTCTCTTTGTCTCGCCTCTGTTTTGAGCCAGAACGCCAAAATACTCCCTACTAACTTACCTCAACAATAGACAAATTTTAAATTTTTCCCATGGTCATCCCCGATTATCCCTGGTTATTCCCCGGATATCCGCTGTTATTCCCAATTATTCTTGGTTATTCCTAATTATCCCCGGTTATTCCTTAACTATCTGCTGGACTATAATCTCCTTTTATTGTCATTATATTTGCCTAATAGAGACCCACAACCTGTCCAACGTTGCCAAATGTAATCTTCTAAGTTTAGTAGGCTTGAATTTTTCCAGTTATCCCTTAGATATCGCCAGTTATCCCTGGCCATATACACCAAATATCCTCAGTGAAATCCTTCTGGTTCAGTGCAGAAAATTCTGAAGTTTCAAAAATATCCGATACTGAGCATTCTATGATCAAGTTTCTGGATTTGATCAAAACTTTGAAAACTTATGATTCAATATTCAACCACTTAAAGATTGAAGAGACTCATGATTCAATGTAGCATTCCAGACTGCAGTCTCGATGTTGAAAAACCTTAAAAAATCAAGACTTCAGATTTCAAAGACTAAAATTCAAATTCAAGCTCCCAATAAAATTCAAATTCAAAGACAATACACACTTAGAGGATTTTATGATCCAAAAACACTGACTCCGTGCAGAAAACCGTGAACTGAGCAATCTAAGATCAAGTCGCTAAATTTAGTCAAAACTCTGAAAACGTATGAATGAATATTCAAACACTGGAAGATTCAAGAGACTCATTATTCAATGTTGCACTCCAGATTCCAGTTTCGATGTTGAAAAGCCTAGAAAATCAAGACTTCAGATTTCAACTTACTTATTAAAACATGTAAGTCTTTACAAAACAATAAATCAAGAAAATTACCAAACCCATTGGGAGTATTTATGAGTTGAAACAAACCTGAATAGGCTGCACAATCAGAAATGGCAACTACTTCTTTAGTTAATACACCATTAGGAGTTGCGCTATTAACATCGCTAACCCGGGAAATCTTAGGTAAATTAAAGTCACCCCACAGAAATATGTCAGTGAATTCACATTGTTCAACCAAATGCATTACAGCCAAACAGAAACCTCCATAAACATCAGCACCAGAGACTCCATGTTGATTCTTGAAGAAAACTTATTGTAACAAATATCGCTTCATTCAGAATTATAGTTCCAGAAATAGAAGTTTATTAAAGATGAAAGTACCAGATGTCAACATTATCCAATTCAATTTGCGACTGCAGTATTTTCAAACATCTGGACTGCAAATCTTGCATTAGTTGAAAGACGGAGTTTGGGAGGTCTAAAAAGATCAATTCAGGTCAAATTCTCAACATGGAAAAATTGCTAATTCTCTCTCTCTCTCTACTCTCTGAACAATATTTCATGGTGTTTCAGTGATTTTAAATATTGAGGATTTAGACTAAAATCTTCTTCATAAGGTAACATAAACTAAAAGGTATAAAACTTTTTTTCATGTTGAAGAAAAGCGGAAAATACTTAAATCACATTTGAATGCCTGTCAAATTAAAACTAATCCCTCAATTTCTGTCAAAGGGTGAAAAATAAACAGTAAAATCCCTCAAAGGGGTAACTGAACTATAATATGGAAAAAAAATCATAAATGAAAAATTGCGATCGTTTGGTTCATTCATCTTACATAAAAATACCTTCACTATAAGATAGAGGAAACAAGAAAAAAAAACTCCCAGTTTATTTTCCACTAAAGTAAACTCTCCTATTGAACTATCTCCCTTATATATTTTATCCTCAAGGAACAAACCGATGGCTAAAATGGGATAAACTGACCTGAAACTTTCGAAAGTGGGTTAAAACTTTTCGCGTCCTTGCCTTTGGCAGTCGATAAAGTTTTAAAATCGACCCCGTATAAAACGGACGATGGTTACCTGTCTTCAAAGAAAGAACACAGGCCTGGAACATCGAAAATATTTGCCTGGTAATAAAGAAGCCCCACTCTTCACGAAGATAATCGAATCTCCCTCACTCCGTGCCTGAATTCTTCAAAGCAAGAACTTTTACACTACTATGGGACACCATTATTATTATACCCACGGGGTCGGACAGCTGCTGCTGAGGCCATTCAAAACCATGACGCTCGTTTTCAACGTTAAAAGTTTGAATTTCTAACCTACAATTTTAGTGTTTTGGTGAAAGTTCCGGGCGGAAAAACCGTTAGTTTCGATTTCGGTACGGTTCGAAGGACCTAAAATTGTGATAGTATTTATTGATGGGGTTCGTAATAATAGTAGATCTTTTGTATACCTTTTAAATAAACCGGTTCAAAAGAAAAAAAACCTATTGCTAAACTAGACTAGATATAGCTCTAGGGTTTGTTAAGTGAAATGAAGCTTTTGCCTATATCAAATAAATAATATTTAAGCAAATAACTCATGAACTCCAATGTGCAAACAATCCAGAGCCAATTAAATAATATTTTTGTTTGAACATTATTATCATTGTGTCAACAGTTGCATATAGGAGCCTATAAGCTTAGGAACATTAAATTTCAGTTAGGATGCTAGTGACCCCACAATTGACTGGTTATGGGTAAAGTCAAACAAACCCAAACAAAAATGGCAGATTTAGTGACCGATAGACGTAAAACTGTTAGCTTGAAGCGATCGAAATCAGTGCGGGCTTCGCTCAAATTTATCAGTGCAAAGTTTCTAAACACAAACTCAAACCATCATGATAATTTGCTCAACAAAACACCTTCAATGTCAAGTTTGCAAGAGTTCTTCAAACCCGAAAAACCGTCTAGTAATTTCATCGAGCACTACTGCAACCAGCAACCTGTCGAGACAATTCTAAAAACCCCCATGATCAAAATAGACAAAACAAGATCATTTAAAAGGGCCGAAAAACTAAACAAAAACCGTAGAGACCTTTTGGATGGTCACGTTAAAATTTCGACTCCGCCTGAAGTGGTAGCGCCGAAAGCGGCTCAGCTCTTGCAAATACCTTCGCAGAAGAACGGATTGAGGAGGATTCATAGCGAAAAGTGTCCTCAGCACGGGAAATTCAGAGATCACAATTACGATTATAGGAATGATGGGTTTCATAGGGGACAGTTGAGATTGTCGATCGTTGCCAAAAGGAGAAATGTAGTGAGGAACTTGTCATTGTCGGATGACGAAAATAAAAGTAAGTCGTTATAAACTTTATAGTGAATTGTTGTAAAATAATAGATATACCACCTATCTAAAATTTGTTTAATGTGATCTACTTATTGATTTAATGATATCAAAGTTTGGACAATTACCGGCTCTTGATTCGCTGAACCATTTTTGTAGAGGCAATTAATAATCAAAATTCGGTTCTTGATAGAGAACCAGTTTTAATAAAATGATTATCACCCGCTCTTGATTGTTAGGTCAGTTCTTTATTCCCATATTCATGTAAGGTTTATCATAGTGATTTCCTCCTATCTAGTTTAAGATATTTGTATTAATTATCGGAAGGTGTGAAAAACAAAAGGGGCAAGCTGATTTTTTAAGGATTGTTCAAGGGGAGTGTCCTGAGTGTGAAAACACCGTAATCAGAAACTTTCCTTTGCCGCGTTCTTAGCTAGGTGTTGTTTCTCAACACTGTGCTAAAATGGAATTTTGGACTCTAAATTGTAGATAATCGGATTCTCTACAAGTTTTCCTATACTATTTTTTCTTTAAATTCATTACAGAACAACCCCCCCCCCCCCAATTTGAATAGGGGATAGGGGTCATGTCATACCATTTTTTAAAGGTCTAATCGAGTACTTTATGACCTTAGAGCAGGTAATTTCCTAAGTGGGAGGAGTATGAACATGAAGTTGGAATTTGAAGCCGTTTTTTTCCAGGTATTTTGAGATCCAAAATAATGGCGGTAAAGCTAATTCAATGCTTTACCTCTGTTATTTGGTGTACAAGCACCTGCTAAAAACTGACTTCACTTTAGTTTCATAGCAGAATGGTGCGTTCTTACTCCTTATGTCCGTAGGACAGCGCTCTACCTGCTCTAAGTTTATGACCCTAAAATTTCGTCTTATTATTTTCATCTGGTAACGAAATGACAGCTTGTTAAAATTTAATAAGGAAGGTATAGAATTTTTGATCACTATTTGGAAGTACCAGTCGTTCTAGTGACTTAACATATGTCGCTTTTTAAACACACAAATAGAACTAGGTTCGGAATTTTCTATTTGTACATGAAATTGACGTTTTATTAATCGACGTTCGTTTTTCTTGGTAGTTTTTTGTTTCATCTGATTCGTGATTGATAAATAAGGATGAGTTTATTCTTAATGGATATCAAAAATACTATACGTAAGGCTGCGGTCCGAATGTAACCAGGGTTGTGGCTTCAAGGTCCGAAAGTAATCAAATTACTCTGGTTCCTGGGAAAGTGATTACTTTTGGATCTTTTTCCTGAAATCTGGCTAACCAACCAAATGTCAAAATAGTTACCTACCGGCCATCGGTTGTCGGTTCTGTTGGTTTTATCTGTAGTTTTTGTCAATTATTCTTATGTCATATTCTTCTTTCCCAAGTAACCAGAATTTTCAGTAACCATCATCTGTCAAACGATTCGGTTAACTTTTGGGTATATTCGGACCATAACCTGAGTATCGCTTTTAGTCCTAAAACAATAGTATATTTCCAAGATTTTGACGAGCTATCATTTCGTTACGTATGAAAATAATAAGACGAAATTCTAGGGTCATAAAGAATCGAATGAGACCTTTAAAAACTTTAAAAAGAGGTATGACACCATTCCTATCCCCCATTCAAACTTTACGGTTGTTCTCCCCCAGGGGGTAAATAAACCACCTAGGAATTATTGTCACCAGCCTAGGAAAATATGTGGAAATACGGGGAAATACAGGGAAATATTAGATTACAGGGAAATGTAAAGTATGAAATTTCAGGGTATTATTAGGAAATATCGAGGTATTATTAGGAAATATGGGGGAAATATCGTGGAATGATTAGCGCATGTAACATAGCAAGCACACCTGAACATTCACGATGTCAGTTTTGTAAATAAAATTCAGTACCTATTCGTAATTAACTCGGAAAATAACCTCTAAAACCTGATTTATAAACTCCATGGTTCATCGTTTCCTTTCCGAACCGCATCGTTCCACGTGGGTAAACTTTCAACTCCACCATTCGTCGTTAATTCGTTCAGTAGCCAATTGAATTAGACAATTTTTGTTATGTTACCTATACAAAATAAAAATTTTGGGATAGAAATGTATCACTTTGTACTTTCAGAATTTTCTCCACTCTAGTTTGATTCTCAGAAATTACGTTTTTTTTTTTTTTTTACGGATATGCGCACTCGCAAGGAAATGTCCTATCACGCTCGAGAAGCGGCAAGTGCGCGGAAATGTCGGTGTATGTTGGTCTTGAAACGGTTCAGGTTGTAACCTGCAGGGAAAACCGTCGCAGGGAGTTTATTCCACAGCGATGCTGTTCTCCAGAGATATGAATTCTGATATAATGAGGTTCTTGGTGCCTCTAGTTTGACAGTAAATTCATGGTTACCGTCTGTTTGACGGGTTCGCCTGGTAGGTGCTACTCTCGGTGGAATCATACGTGCCAACTCTTCAGAGCATTTTCCGTGATAGTACCTGTAGAAGAGAGATAAATCGCCCACAGATCTGCGATGTTCGAGACCATCCAAGTTACGAGTAAGTGCGGGGTCATTGATCAGCTTGATAGCTCGTTTTTGCACGGTATTCAAAAGCATTAAGGTATGTTTGGGTGCTGCACTCCATATATGTGAGCAGTACTCCATAGTTGGTCGAATCTGGGCTTTGTAGAGTGTCAGCAATTGGCTTGGTGTGTACAGATGTCTTGTACGAAATAGCACCCCCAGCTTTTGGGAGGCCCTTTTAGCAATATCTGCCACGTGACTGTGCCAAGACATATTGGTCTCTGCAGTAACCCCCAAGATGTTCAACTGACTCTGTAATGTGACAGCACTTCCAGATAGCATGATGTTTGGCTCACCGATGCTGGTCTTTTTTGAAAACAGAGCTGCTTGGGTTTTCTGCGCGTTGAACTGTACAAGGTTTTTGTTACCCCAGTCCTCTATTATCTCCAGATCGTTATTTATCTGCGATATTTGAGTTAGTCTAAGATGATGGAATTCACGTGCGGAAAGACCTGTGGGTGGTATGAGTGAGGAGACTACATTGCCATCGTCTGCAAAGCAATAAAGTGGATTTACTGTTTTATCTATGAGGTCATTTAGGTAAATCAGGAAAATAGTTGGCGAAAGGATTGCTCCCTGTGGCACACCAGCATTTATTTGGTAAGAGTTGGAGTTCTGGCCATCCAGTGCAACATAAATGGATCTGTCCTTTAGGTAACTTTCAAACCAAGTGCAAAGTTTCGGCGATAATCCCATTGCTTTGAGCTTGTTGAGCAGATTTTCATGCCAAACTTTGTCGAATGCTTTAGATATATCTAAGGCAATTGTTCTTGTTTCACCCCGCAACTCAATCGCTTTTTGCCATAAGTGAGTGACGTATGTAAGTAAATCGCCAGTTGACCTATATTTTCGAAATCCGTATTGCTTATCGTTGATAATTTTGTACTTTTCCAAGTACTTGGTTAGGTGATTGTTCACAACTCTTTCCATTACTTTTGATATCACCGGAAGTAGAGCAATTGGTCTATAGTTTAACGGATCTGTCTTTTTTCCTTTCTTTGGAATGGGTTGTACTGCGGCAGACTTCCATGATGATGGATATACTCCTTGCCTGTAAGACAAATTGAATAATTTTGCGAAAGTTGGGGTGAGTTCGTTGGCGCAATTTTTGAGTACTATTGCGGGAATGCCATCCGGACCCATTGCTTTGTTTTTATCCAGCTTTTTTAGGGATTTTCGTATTTCTCTGTGACAAAAGGGTACCTCTGGCATACTATGGGAAACCCTTTCAATGAACGGTGGAGTTTTTCCGTTTGGCACTGTTAGGTTGGAGTTGGAGGAAAACATTTGGGCAAGCATATTGGCTTTTTCCTCTGATGTTGTGGCTAAGTGATTATTTTTATCTGTAAGTGGTGGTATGGATGACTTGGTGAAGTTAGATCCAACAGCTTTTGCAAGAGACCAAAAAGACCTAGAACTACTTGGACAATTTAGCAACCTGTTTTTTATTCTTTGATTGTATGTTTCTTTAGCGGAGTCAATAGTAATTTTGCAACTATTTCTGGCTTCTATAAATTCTGTGTGGTTTTGAGCGGTTTGTTGTCGTTTCCAAAGGTTATATGCTCTGTGTTTTTTCTGTACAGCCGTTTGACACTGGCTGTTGAACCAAGGTTTTGCATTAGCTCTACGTTTAGTTGTATGTGGGATATATGCGTCCATTCCAGATAAGATTACTTGTGTTATTTCATTACAGCAAATAGTGGGATCAGCTGTTTTAAAGCAAACCTCTTGCCATGGAAAATCCAGGTAATACTGTTTTAGGTCATTCCATTTTGCCGATTTATAGTGCCACATTTTACGAGGAAGTGGTTGTAGGCTTGGTGGGATGAGCATTTCGCACTTTGTTATTATAAGTTTATGATCGGACGAACCAAGTGGAGCATCTACTTGAATTGTGTACGAGTCAGGATTGGTGGTTAGGAACAAGTCTAAAAGCGCTGCAAATTCGCCCCTTTCTGAGATACGGGTAGGTTCATCGACAAGCTGCGTTAGACCACAACTTATGGCAAAAGCTTCTGCTTCTCTGCCTTCGTTATCTGTTTTGTTGTGGTGTTTCAGCCAGGGTATATTGTGGACGTTGAAATCGCCTAAAAAGACAATTTCCGCCTGTGGATAGTTTGACTGTATACTATCACAGCTTTCGGATAATGTCGCGAAAAAGTTTTGGTAATCGGTGTTACTTGGCGGTCGGTAGAGGCAGCAGATAAACTTGGTCGATGACTTTGAGGTGAATTTTAGCCATATGATATCAAGGTTCGCTGGTTCTAACTTCTCCTCTCGATGACATGAAAGGTCATTTTTAATGTACACACAGATCCAAAAATTATGTCGAAATCGGTGGTGTAGGTCATAGCCGGGATAAAGATAGTTCACAATAGGTGTTGCAGAACTGATTTTAGTTTCAGTGAAAACAAGGATGTCAGGTCTTTGTTCTTCAAGATGTTGGT